TCCTCGGGCCTCCTGGAGGGTCTCTTGGAGCCCTCTTGGGCCGCCTTGTAAGCCTCTCGGCCCGTCTTGAAGCTGTTCGGAAGTCTCTCATGCCGTCTTTGGCCATCTTGGGCCGTCATGTTTTCATTTTGGCTCTCTCGGACGCCGTCTTTAGATCCCCTTGGGCCGTCTTGCGGCCGAACAGAGCACCATAGAACAAATTCTGGGGGGGTGGGGGGTGGGGCGATTTTTGTAGGGGTACGATAAGGGGCCTATTTCTCCGTGTATACGGAGTAGTAGACGTTTATTTTTCCGTGCGTCGGATACACGGAGTATAAGCGGCTTATCATGATGTGTAAACAGAGTAGTAGGCGCCTTTTAGTCTGTGCGTCGGATACACGGAGTACTAACGGCCTATTAGTCCGTGTATACAAAGTAGGGGGCGCTTTTTCTGTTCCGCGCATTGGACACACGGAATAAATGCGGCTTATTTCTCCGCGTGCACGAAGTATTCGGGGCCGTTTGTTCCGTGTATCGGATTCAAGGAGAGAGAGGGGGTCGGCCAGCTCTCTTCTTTTCTCCTCCTCTAGCATGCGGGGCAATTCGCAATACCGTGGCCCGGGTTGCTTGGACGCGCGTGCAGGCTGCCGCTGCCGCGCTGCGACTGCGACATAAATTGTGTGGATAGAGGGGAGGGCGGCCCTAGAAAACAATAACACAATTTCCAGACTAGACGAGTATGCCTGAAAGAGTGAGGTACGAGTGATTCGGGAGCCTCGAGACGGGGGTCAGTGCAGACGGGGGTCAGCCAGGGCGCCGGATCCTGCAGGATCCTGCGAAGACCCCCTCTGGCTGACCCGGGTTAGCGAGCCGCTCGTGGCCGCGAGGCGGCTGCGCCTATTGGCTGACCCGGGTTTGCGAAGACCTGCGTTGCAGTTTTTTTTTGTCCTGCATTGCAGTTTTTGGTTTCCTGCTGAACCGGGTCTGGATTGGCCCGGGTCAGAAACCCTCTCCCCTCTAGGGGCGGGTGGGTGAAACCCTCTAGGGTGAAACTCTCTAGGGTGGAACCCTCTAGGGTGAAACCCTCTAGGAGTGATGACGTTGTGGGTGGGGTGAAACCCTCTAGGGACGGCTTTCCGGGGAGGGAGGAAGCGCGCTTGGGCCGGCGTGGCACGGCACAATGGGGCCGCTCAAACTGCCAGGAGGTCCTCAAGGCGGCCCTCGAGAGGTCCAGCAGGGCGCTGGGGCGGTCCAGGAGCGCTCCAGGAAAGCCCAAGACTGGCCAAGCGTTCGAGGATGGCCTCAGACTGCCTCGAGACGGTCCTAGGGGGGCCCAAGCTGGCCCCAGAAGCGCTCAAGAGGTCCCCCTAGAGGGCCTCAGGAGGCCAACAGCATTGATTTTCTATAGGTTTTTGAGCTGCCTTAGAGTTCTTGCTTTTTCTGATTACAAGACGGCGAGTGCGGGCCCCAAGAGGGCCCCAAGATGGCCCAAGAGGCTCCCAAGAGAGCCCCAAGACGGCCCGAACCCCCAAAGATGGTCCAAGAAGCCCCTGGGAGGACCCCCGGCCAGCTTGAGGAGGCCACACGCATTGATTTCCAACCGGTTTTTCATTGTTTCTTCGGTTCTCGATTTTCCGGCGCAGATCGGCCGAAGACGGCCTTGAGGGCCTCCGACATTGCGCCAAGACGGGAGGGCCCCTGGACGGCGGAAGAAAGCGCCCAGACGGCCACAGAAGATTGCCCAAGAGGGCCCCAGGACGGCCACAGAGAGCCCTAAGCGGCTCAAGAGGGGCCCAAGAGCTCCCAAAGAGAGCCCAAGAGAGCCCCCAGAGTGCCGTAGGATGCCGCCAAGAGGGCCGAAGAGGGCCCCAAGAGGGCCCAAAGATGGCCCAAGTGGGCCCCAGAACGGCCGAAGAGGGCCTGAAGACATCCAGAAGGGCCTTCAGATAACCCCCTTCGCAGACGGCCTAATGCCGGACGCAGTTTAAAGCTTTGAACACCAAGGATCCCAAGAGCGAGCAGTGGCGCAGAAAGCTTTTAACGCCAAGGCTGCCAAGAGCAAACGAGTTCGTAAGCATATCTTAACGCGAAGGTTCTCAAGATCGAGCGGTGACTTAAGCAGGTCTCGACTCCCAGGCTTCCAAGAGCGAATGTTGACTGAATCAACTACTGTCACGCAAGAAGGTCTTAACCCCCAGGCTCCAAGAGCAAGCGTTGACTCAAACAAATCTTCACCCCGAGGTTCCCAAGAGCGAACGGTGTAAAGAGCTCTTAATGCCAAGGCTCCCAGGAGCGAACGACGCCGTGGAACAGCTCTTGACACCAAGGCTCCCAAGAGCGAACGGTGAAGAGCACAAGTTCTTAACGCCAAAGCTCCTACGAGCGAATCGTGCCATGAGCCCTCCCGGGCAAGTTCCAGAAGCGCTCTTTCCGTTTTCCTGTGCCGGCCCAGGTGACAGGAAGAGCGGCAGCGAGAGGAGTTATGTACAGGGCTTTAGCCCCAATGGGGGGGGGTCCAGGGGAGGGCGCGGCGCGCCGCGATTTCTAGCACGCCCTCCAGGAGAGTGTTTTTCTGCCCTCGGCAATCACGCGCGTTATGCCCCTTCCCCTCCCCCCCCTCCCCCCCCATAACTCGGCCACGCGCAGAGGGGGGTGGGGGAAGGGGGGAGGGCTTCTTAGAACCACCCCTGCTTCTTAGAAGGCGCCGGCCTTGTCCACAAATGTAAAGCCGGCGCCTTCTAAGAAGCAGCCCCCTTCTAAGAAGCCCTCCCCCCGCCCTCCCCCCCCTCCCCCCCCAATAACGCATCGCTCCCCCCTCAGTGCGTCCCCGTCACTGCCGCAGTGGCCCCAGTCTGGGGGGGCACCACAGTCTGGGGGGGGGCCACGTTAGGCCCACGCCTGTTATGGCCGCGAATAGAAAAATGCACTCCAGGGGTCAGGCTGGCGGCTTTTTTCGGACCTGGGGGCCTCAAGACAGCCCAATTGGCTTCCAAGACGGCCAAATATAACCCCAAGACGGCCTCACAGAGACCCAAGAGGACCCGAAGACGGTCCAAGAGCGCTCTCAAAGAGCTCCTGATGGCCGCGTCACGGCCCAAGAGGTCCCCAAGACGCCCCAAGTGGCTTGAACGAGGGCTCCAAAGAGAGCCAGAAGCCGGCAGAACGCCTGAGTTTTCTTCCGGTTTCTGGAGGATTTCCGGGCTTCTCTTTTTTTCCGGGCCAAGAGCGGTCAAAGACGACCGTTGGCGCCTCCGAGGTCGCGCCAAAGACGTCCCGCGAGGCCCCCGGGAGGGCCCGCAGCAACGGCCCTTCGGAGGGCCTCCCAAAGACGGCCCGAGAGAGCGCGGCAAGACGAGCCGGGCCTGGGCGGGCCCCGCGGAGCCCCGAGAGGATCCCGGAGGAGAGCCCCAAGGGGCCGGCCACCGGAGGGCCCTCAGAGGGCCCGAGTCGATCGCCGCAAGGCGGCCGAGGCTCCCCGAGGCGGTCCTCCCTCCTCCTCCTCCTCTCCTCCTCCTCCTCCTCCTCCTCCTCCTCCTCCTCCTCCTCCTCCCTCCCTCCTCCCTCCCTCCCTCCCTCCCTCCCTCCCTCCCCCTCCCTCCCTCCCTCCCTCCCTCCCTCCCTCCCTCCCTCCCTCCCTCCCTCCCTCCCTCCCTCCCTCTTCCAAGGATCCGGCGATCGCAAACGTGGATCAAAGGGGGCGTGGGTTGGCGGATCAGTGACGGGGCCTGTTCTCATGGGGCATCGCGGATCTCTGGACTGGGCGACCGCGCGCCAAGTCCACGGATCGCCAGTCCGTGTCTGCGCGCCCCCGAGAGGAGGGCCCCAGGACGGCCCCGGGAGGGCCCCCGAAGCGGCCGGGAAGACGCTCGGGCCATCCGAATCCTACAGTTAAGTCGGGCCTGTCCCCCTACAGGGGGATTTTCGACGGAAAATTCAAAATACCCCAACAATAGTCAAAAAATAATACAACAATAGTCTGGGGACTATTTTTGAGTATTTTTGAACCTTTTGGGGGTATTTTTGGGGTACTTTTTATTTTTCGTCGAAAATTCCCCTGTAGGGGGACAGGCCCGACTTAATCCTACAGTGGTCGTCGCTCTCGGGCCCCTGAGCCTCGAAGCTGGAGGGGGTCTCGTGCGGGAGACCTCTCCGTTAGTGAGATGCGAGGACGTCTCAGGCGGGAGCCCCTTGCCCATGGGACCCGCAGGTCATGTTATGAGGAGCGAGGACGACAACGAGGATGATCACCCGAGGCGAGGAAGTGGACGGGGATCGGAGTGAGCTTGTCCGCTGGCGGCTCCTGCGGGGCCGTGCCCGATCTAATCACGCTCGCCTGCTGGGCCGGGGGGGACGATGGGGGGTGCTTTTTCCGCAGCCGCTTTTGCTCGATGGTTCGGTCGCAAATCATGGGAGCCTTGTGTACGGTAGGTTTGCGTCGTGTCGACCAGCGGCGACCCCGCCAGCGGCGTTCAAGGTTGAACGCCGGCGGCGGCCCAGAATCGGTCGATGTTGAACGATCGGACGTTGCGGAGACGGCCGATCGTTCAAGGTTGAACGATCCAGCGCGGTGTCGGGAACCAACGCCGGGGTCGGCACGGCACGGACCTGCCGTACCTTCGTACTTTCGTCTTCAGAGGGCACCAGCGCTGAGTAGCGTCTGGTAACCGGTGAGGTAGCGCCGATTTAGCCTCGGGGCTCAAGAGACGGGGGTCAGTGCAAACGGGGGTCAGCCAGAACGCCCGGTCTTGCAGGATCCTGCAGGGTGTGGGAGGCTCCCACGAGTTGCCGCAGAACGATGGTGCCAACGTTCGTGCAGTTTTGGGCTAACGCCGTTCTGTTTTCGGGATGACGCTCAAGGAACGGGTCCTGCGGGCAGCAGGTGTTAAGTTGTCAAAGACGGAGACATGCATTTTTAGTTACAATCCAGCTTTGCTGGGAAGGGGTTTAATTTTGCGTTGGCGTGGGCGGTGTTGCCCAGCATATTTTCACGATGGATTTGGCTGCAGTACGTTCTTCTGCTCATGGCCACCCACCTATGGTACGACCGGGTTCCGCCAGAGAACTCCCTGAATCACGTCATGGAGGATATCTATAAACACATGGAAAAGTTCACGCCCTTTCTTCTGGGCCTCTTTGTTTCCCTGATGATCGCGCACACCTACTACGCAAACCGTGGCTTCTTCGGTACGCTTTTCGGACGGTCTTTGGCCTTTGCGCAGATGGCCGCCGCCTGGATTCGGCCCCCGAGTCCCAACGAGCAGGATGCGGCGCACCGTGCCCAACGCTTGCTGGTGCGGTGGTGCAACGCGGCTTTCCGGCTGATGTGGCTGGAGTGCCGGGAGGGCTTTGGTCCGACAGAAATCGGGGAGGATATGTTGATCGGCGGCGTGCCCCGGGGGGGAAGGGAGCAGGAGCAGGGCCTCCTCAGAAAGCGGCGGGGCCTCTCAGAAGCCCTCGCGCTCCCTGAGGAGTGTTCCGTGCCTTCGGGGAAGGCTTTTAGGACCATCGCCACACGGCCCGGAGGCTTTCTGAGCCTCTCGAGACGGCCCGCCTCCTCGCACCTCCCCCCAGAGGGCGAGCTGCCGAGCTGAACTCAGCGCTTCTCACCGAGCCGGAATGGGAGCACGTCAAGGAGCTCGGGGCTCAAGAGACGGGGGTCCATGCAAACGGGGGTCAGCCAGTGCACTGGATCCTGCAGGATCCTGCGACGACCCCCTCTGGCTGGCCCGGATTAGCGAGCCGCTCGTGGCCGCGAGGCGGCCGCGCCTATTGGCTGACCCGGGTTTGCGAGGACCTGCGTTGCAGTTGTTTTTTCCTGCATTGCAGTTTTTTGATTTCCTGCTGACCCGGGTCTGGATTGACCTGGGTCAGAAGATCCCCGAGGAGCTTCCATCTCGGTGCACGCACGTCTACCAGTGGATGAACAATGTCTTGTACGACCTGTTCCGAGAGGGACACATCGTCAGCGACGTCCTTCTGAGACAGATGCATCAACAGGTTGAGGACATGCGCGCTGCCAACGTATGGGGCTTGCCTAGCCTACCTATGCCTTATACGCTGCTGATCATTCTGATGGTGAAGACGCATCTTCTTGCCATGGCGTTGAGCAACGGTGCTGGGCTCAATATGTGGAAGGCCAAGGGCTACCAGCCCTCTACTTGGTGTTGGATAGGTCAGCACTTGCAGCTGTTTCTTAGCAACTTCCTATATCAAGGGTTGCTTGACCTTCATGGCCACCTTTACAACCCAAACAGCGGGGATCTTCTCGGGCATCTGCCAGTGGTGAACTTTCTCGATTTCGTGAAAACGGTATCTGAGAATTTGATTGACAAGAACAGCTCCTTGCCTTACGACTTGGATTTCGCACAACAGCTTACCGATCCTGGGGTCGGATCCCGCTGTGCTCAGAGGAGCATTTCTGGTGCGCTCCCATCGCAGATCGAGATGCACATGCGACGGCCGCTGCTGATTGCCTAGCTCTGCTCTGCGCTGCTTCTGTGACGAGGCGGCGGAAATCAAGGTCTGATTATACAAGTAGGTTTTTCATAGCGACTCGCTATCACGCGTTGACATACGACGTGCTATCGAGCATTGAGCATTGACATCTGCAAGGCGTTGGCATTGGTTATACATGCGACGTGCTATCGAGCATTGACATATGCAAGGAGTTGTCGAAATCGCGATCACGTATGCCATCACACTTGAGGTTTGGCGCTTACGCGATTATTTTCTGTATATTCAAGGCTGATTCCGTACGAGAGTCACGTGCCGCTACTCTTTTTTTGTTTCAATTTGTCTTACAACCAAGTATTTCAGAGGAGCATGCCGTTATGCCTCGTTGCAGATTGTAGTAGCTCCGCTATTTGGCGCGTTCATCAGTTTTTTTTCATAGTGGTTACCAGGGATAGCTACTACTGTCAGACTGACCGCGACACACTGTTGCACTCACTTGCTGATGCGCGTCGGTCGGCAAGGCCAAGACCGATACACGCGCTACTCGGAGTTGGAAGCACAGCGCAGTTCCGTCGCCCGACTGCCTGTGCGCTCTGCCTCCGACCGTGTCCGAGGGCATGCGCACTCGTGCATCGCATGCACAGTTGTTTGTATTAGTTTTATCTTGTGTGTCTGCGCGCGCGCGCGCGCGTGTGTGTGTGTGTGTGTGCGTGTGTGTGTGTGTGTGTGTGTGTGTGTGTGTGTGTGTGTGTGTGTCTGAGTGTGTGTGTGTGTGTGTGTGTGAGTGAGTGTGTGTGAATGTGTATGTGTGTGTATGTGTGTGTGTGTGCGTGTGTCTGTGTGTATCTGCGTATGTGTCTGTGTGTGCGTGTGTGTGTGTGTGTGTGTGTGTGTGTGTGTGTGTGTGCGTGTGTGTGTGTGTGTGTGTGCTGTTTCGTTTGGGCTCACAGTTCCCCTAACACACCCATCGCCTGCATGTTGCAGTGTGCGACGTTTCGTACGTCATCTTGACATCTTGGGGCCACCTGGCGGGTTTCTCGGATCCGCGCTGGGCCCCCCTTGGCTCGC